CATCAACAATTGGAAGTGCATAAGCCACCATATCCGCCAATCGAGCAGGTTGTTGAATCTCTCGTCTGGGCTTTCTCAATGCAATGGGTAAATCTAATGATTCATGAGTCTGAACTTCATCATCCGACGAATCGTTTGATATTGTTTCGTCGATCATAGTTGGTTGTCTCTTCATCGCATCTATCTCCACCTGCTTCGGTGTCAACTCCACCTGTTGGGTTTGCGTCGTCTTTATCATACTTTGTTCATCGAATGTAACATCCCTGCTAAACACAGTTTTGTTCGTCTCAAGACACAAAAGACGATATCCCTTCACGCCAATTGTGATTCCCATAAACAAAGCCTTTTTCGCTCTTGGATCTAACTTTGAATCCTTCACATGATAGAACGTAGGACACCCAAAGACATGTAAAGATCCATAGTCAGCAACAGGTTTCTCCGACCATACCTCCAACGGTGTTTTACCATCTTTTGCAGATGACGACAAACGATTTATAAGGTGTTGCGCGTATGTTACAGCCTCAGCCCAGTACTCCTTGCCCAAACCAGCATTGGACAACATACATCGAACTTTCTCCACCAATGTTCGATTCATGCGCTCCGCCACCCCATTTTTTTGTGGTGTCCGTCTAACGGTGAAGTGCCTAACAATGCCATTTTTACGGAAAACTTCTTGAAAGGGATCGCTTGTATATTTTCCACCATTGTCCGTTCGTAGGACCTTGATCTTCCTTCCAGTCTGGTTCTCAATTTGTGTCTTCCATGTAATGAAGACACCAAGCACTTCATCCTTCGTCTTCATAGTGTACACCCAAACACGTCTGGAAAAGTCATCGATGAAAGTGACAAAATAACGTCTTCCGCCTAATGATGGGGTCTTAGAAAGTCCCCAAACATCCAAATGAACATAATCCAAGACACCTTTGGTATTATGGATAGCCGTTCCAAACTTCACTCTCTTCTGCTTTCCCAAAACACAGTGCTCACAAAAGTCTAGTTTGCACACTTTGACATCTTTCAACAGTCCTTGTTTTGCCAATGTTTGCAAGGACTTTTCACCAGCATGTCCCAAACGCATATGCCACAACTTGATTGCTTCAGACTCTTTGTTGGTGGAATCTGCCCAACGACTGTATCACCTTCATAGTAGTACAAATTGTTCCTCCTTATGTCTTTCATCACCACGAGCGAGCCGGATGTAGCTTTCATAACTCCATCTCGCAAAGTCACTACCAAGCCTTTGGATGCCAAGGCTCCTAATGAGATGAGGTTTTTCTTCAAACTCGGCACGTACCGAACATCCGTCAAAACTCTGGTGGAACCATCGCGATTCTTCAGATGGATTGAACCTATCCCAGTTGTCTTACAGGCATTACCATTACCCATATAGACAACCCCTACATTGATCTCCTGAAAATTGAAGAATCACTCCCTTATGGGAGACATATGGTAGGTGCATCCTGAATCCAAAATCCATTCGTCTGGATGAGATGATGAAGGTGAAACCACAAGTGAAAATTCTGAGTCTTCACTTCCACCCTCAGCAACATATGCATCTTGAGGAGATTTGTCTTTCTTCTTCAACTTTGGACAGTCTTTCTTCCAGTGTCCCTTCTCATGGCAGAAAGCACACTCGTCTTTTTCAAGCTTGGCTTTGGAACGTGATCTTCCTCGTCCATTCTTCTTTTGGCTCTTCGACCGACCTCTTGCAACTAACGCTTCATCTTCTACTGCTGCATTCTTCGTCTCTTGTTTGTTCTTCTTCCTCAACTCGTAGCTATACAGAGCAGAACTGACCACTGCAAGAGTTACATCGTCCTTCCCATGGAGCAGAGTAGTCTCTAGGTGCTCGAAGTCATCTGGAAGTGATGATAACAACATAAGAGCCAAATCTTCATCGCTGAATGTGATGTCCAAGTTCAACAAATCTGCAACCAATTGATTGAATGCAGTGAAGTGGTCATTCATCGATGTGCCATGCCGGTACTCGAATCGGAACAATCGTTTCTTCATGAGGAGCTTATTCTCGCCGCTTTTCTTCAGAAATTTATCCTCCAAAGCCTTTCACAGAGTGTGAGCAGAGTTTTCATTCTTGAACGCGTACTTCTGCTCCCTCGACAAACACGAACGAATTGTTCCACATGCTAAGCGGTTGATATTCTTCCAGTCCTCCTTTTCAACGTCTGTTGCTGAAATAAACAATCCAGTATCTCGCCTTGCCACATGCCGAAATGACCGGTCCCGTCGAAGATCTCCACCGGGAGTCTGACGTTCGGCATCACCGTCCTTGCCGAAATGAATGCAGAGGATGATGCGCCCTTGACCTCCTTGGACATCTCGGACCCGAATGCAGTGCTCGCCTCTCCAAATGAGTCTGGGACGAACCTTCGGCTCTGATACCACTTGTTGGGGTATCACAACAAGCGTAGCGGACAAAAATACCCCTCCAACAAATATGGCGAGTACTACTCCAAAATGAAAAATAAGCCAACACAAATAAATAAAAAAGGGGAAAGAAAAGAACACAAAAATTGATAACGGAATTCGGCGAAAATAGCCTACGTCTCCGGGCACCGCCAACCGCAACGCCAAATTTACT